GTGAGGGGGTGGGGGGGGTAAAGGAGAGGGTAGAAGGGAAGGGGGGAGAAATGATCCAAACATTGTATGCACATATGAATAAAAGAAAAAAGAAAGGTCAGTAACTGTCTTGTTTTGGCAGCATCGCCCTCAGAATCTCAGCCTCCCAGGAGCACTTACCCAAAGGAAACATGCTAAAGAAACTGACAAGAAGCCAGGTGTGGTAGTGCACACTTGTAATGCCTGCTACTTGGGAGGCAGAGGCAAGAGGATCGCAGATTCCAAGGCCAGTCTGGGCAAAAAGTTAGCAAAACCCTGTCTCAAAAACAATGAAAACCAAAGGGGTGAGTACATGGCTCAAGGGGTAGAGTGCTTGTTTAGCATGTGCAAGGCCCTGAGTTCAAACTCCAGTACCTGCAAAAAAAATCAAAACGAAATAAAACATAAATGAACTGCCTGTAGTTTGTGCCTTCTTAGAGAAAATGGCCCATGGAATTTTAAACATGTGTAAGAGTCACCTGGCTCTATGAAAAGAAGATACAGGACCAAAACAGTCAATTACATCCAAAAAGAGAATGTCATTAAGATATGCAGGACTCAAATCAAGCCAATTTTTTTTTTTTTTTTACTTTTTAGATCAGCATAAGTTTATTAAGCTTTTGACACAAAATGTTAGGTTCTAGGTTCTGTAGAAAATGTAAAGAAATAGAAAGCCTGCTCCCTGCCTCCAAAGAGTTTATAGCTGGCTGGATAAATAAGATGGGAAACAGATTCCATAACTTAGACCATTTGTACTTTGAGATTTGATTATAAAATGATACAGGAACTCAGAAAAAGGAAAATTCCTGGGACTTAGTTAGGTCAGGGAGGGCTTCTTTTGGAGATGACTTTTTTTCATTTTTGTTAGCCTATGTTAGTTGTATAGGAGGGATTCATTGTTCCAATTCTGAGTAACCTTACACTGGTTAGATTGCCCTCACCATCTCCCCCACACAACCCCCTCCCTGCCCCCACTTGCAAGAGGTTTCATGGTTCTATTTCATAAATATATATATTATATATATATTTAAATATTATATAAAGCCCATCAACCATATTCACTCACCTTCATCTCCTCTATTCACCCTCTTCCCACAAGTGCCCTCATACACTGTACCTATTTTACAGTCCTGTCTTTCATTTTTCATTTATAGGAGATGACTCTAAATTGAGCTTGTAAGGATGGGCAGGATTCAGATCTGTAGAAAAAAGTCAAAGGACAATTTTATGATGAGAATCCAGTCTATTTATCTCCTTGCCACACCCAGAGTTTTAATTATTCATTCATTTGTTCATCAAACTTTTATCTATGTAGTTGCTAGACTTTATGTTCATAAAGTCTACATAAAGGAGACAACAAAGGCCTCCGTGTGCCTAATGTAGAGCTCTTTAAAAGAACAGGAGTTACCTATGCCCTCATTTTGACCTAAAGTGATAGGCGGGATACACGTAGCCAACCAAATTAATAAAGGCACTGACTTAAAAATCACCTTCAACAGCATTAACATTTGACAAACATTTCAAGAACGTACCAGAAGGCACGCACGAAAGATTCATTGGAAAAATCAGATGTGGGTGCTGTACTTCTGGAGCTTACAGTCCACATGGGAGACTGTCACATAAACAATCACTGTCACGTGTGGTGCCATCCACACTAGGAGCAGCAGAGGGATTTCTCTTAGAGTACCAGGCAGGAGAAACTGACTGAGTTGAAGAAGAAGAAGATAAGCACTTTGTCATTGTGACAGCCAGAAATCCCTGTCTCTGGGTAACCCCCACCCACTACCGCTACCACACACACAGTGGGGAGAACTTGTGACTGTGCCATATTTTAGAATATGGCAAAGGTATTTTGCAGAGACAATTAGTGCCCAGAAGTAGTTAAGTTGATCCAAAGGGAGAATTTCCTGGATGGGTCTCACCCAGTCAGATGAGTCTAGATGTGAGAGGCTCAGTGAATCAGAGACTCTCCCGGCCAGCTCCACGGCTGGCCTTGAAGGAGGAAGCATCTGTGCAGTCATAGCTCCAAAGAAGTGAATTCTTCCACAACATGCAAGGGCTGGGAAGCAAATGCTTCCTCTGTGAAGCCTCCAGATAAGAACGCAGTCTGACCGAGGCCTTCATCTCAACTTTGTGAGACGCTGAGCAGACAGCCCAGCTGCACCCAGCTCCTCTCCCCGGACACTGGGAGAATCAGTGTGCATTATTGAAGCCATTCAGTTTGTAGTCGCTCTCAATGCAGGGGTAGAAAGCAAACACAACAGTGAATTAGACAGGACTGGCTTCAGGTGTCTTCCTACAGAAGGAAGACATGGGGCCCTGAGGTTTTTAGGGGACCTGTGTACAATCTTCTATGTCCTCGTGTGGAATCCAGGTTACACATCATAAATGAGGTCTCCACACCCCCTCCCAAGGCTCCTGTCTTATATCAGTGTATCACTCAATGTTAGAGTTGACAGAATAGAACATACATACTTTTCCCTGTTACAAATACACCTCACTGTATGCAACTCATGGGGTACTACAAACAATTGTATTTTTTCAAGTAGGATTCAATTTTCTCTTCTCTTGGTTCATTTAGTCAATTAGTAAGAGCTCAAGGAGTACCTAGGGAGGGACTGAAGGACAGTGGGGATGTGGTGCTATCCTTGGAGGAGCTCCTGAGAACCCTCTGTACTGGAAAAGATCAACGGGCAACAGAATGCCGAGCCTGCAAGGGCACAGGAGGAAGAAGAGGCAGAGCACAAGCCCAGGAAAAAGGACTTCTGTTTTGATCTTCGGCACAGGCTCTTTGATCTCAGGCACTCTTCTCAGACAAAAAAGGGAGACATTGGGAATGCTGTTAGTTTCCAGCTGAATGCATATGAGCAATAGAAGTTTGGGATCGCTGAAAACTCTCAGCTCTTTTGGAATTTTGGAATCATTTTGAAGGCATAGAGCTGAAACTTTGGGTTATCCAACCAAATACCTCAACACCAAAATGATCTGACACACGACGTTTACTGAATACTTGCTACATGCCAGCACTGTATCACATACTAAGAACACAGTGGTGTGTCAGTCAGGAGGTTTTAAACTATAATAGAAAGCCCTGTTCACGACCCTTAAAGAATAAACAGGATTCTTTGTCTCAACAAGCAAGAAATTGCGAGGTAGTTCAGCTCCAAGATTTGCTAATTTAGAAGCTCACTAGCATAATGAAGGAGTAGGGTTCTTTTTTTTCATTGCCTTTTTCTTGGGTCAATGGTTTGAACATAGTTAGCTTTCCTCATAGTCACAAGATGGCTGCCACTGTTCTAGGCACATCTTCACAATGCTTTCTAGTAGAGAGACCAGTATTGCTTCTTCCCATGGCGGGGGTGGGGGGAATGGATCTTTTCCAAAAATCTTCAGCAGCTTTCCCCTCAATATCTCATTGACCAGAGTTCTATCTCATGCTTGTGCCTAAACCCATCAGAACCCACTCTCCTGCAGTGTTGGAGGCTTCAACCCCTACAGCACCTGGCCTCAGTCGTTTGGGAACTTGGACGGAACTTGGGTTCTAACAAAAGGACGACGGGGAATGAAGAGGCTGCAAAGGTCACCTGCTGACTGTATGAAGCAAGGGGTAAGTGGACTGTCTCTGCACTGGGGTCAACAACAATCTCACAGGTGACAGACAATTACAAATTGTCATGAATCAAGAAAAGCAACTTCAGAAGTAAAAGATACGTAGTGTCCAGCCAGGCAGGGCTGGGAGAACACTGGGCAGTGGGTACTCAGCCTGGCTCATTGGAGTATGAAAAAAAAAAAAAAGGACACCTGTAAGCTGGGCATGGTGGGGATGTGGAGCAGAAGGTGGGGTCTTCCTGCCCCCTGAGGAGTTTGGAGATGTCCCAAGAGCAATGCAAAGGCACTGAAGTTTAAAAGCAAGGAGCATGATGTACTTTGAGTAAGTGCTTAAAAACTTGGTCTGATTGCTGTATAGAAAATGGATGGAAGGATAAGAACATGCTAGGGAACTATAAGGTCAACCCCTAGTTGAGGGTGGCTTGTGGGTAGAAGGGTAAGCAGACAGCGGTGAGACATTGCTAGTGCCCTGAGGGACAGGGGGAGTTAGCCCCAGATTCCTCCCGAGGTATGAAGACAAGTCCTGCAAAGCCATGCTGGGCACACATAACCCCACCATGGAGGACAGCAGGGAGGTGACACAGGCTTCAGGGATCAGCAACATTGTGGGTGTGCATGCAGCAGACTGGACTTCGTGGCAGCATCTTCAGGAAGGTGGGGTGTGAGCAGCCCAGGCATAAAATTGAGATCCTCTCTCAAAAATAACGAAAATAAAAAGGGCTGGAGGTGTGGCTCAAGTGGTAGAGTGCCTGCCTAGCAAGCACAAGGCCTTAAGTTCAAACCTCAGTATCACCAAAATAAATACAGCCTGAGAGACTGAGAGAAAGTGAGCAAGGAATTCATTTAAGGATGAAAAGAATTCTCCAAGGTGTTGGAATCGGGGTACAGGGAGGCACCCTGTCCCACCAAAGCTGTCCTGGCCTGAAGCTGCCAGGGTGGGTGGAAGACTAACAGAGAGGAGGCCGGGTGACAGAGCAGAAGCATTTTGAGGAACTGATCTGAAGCAGCAGCATCTGAGGGACTTCCTCTCTCTGCCACACTCCACCTCCTCCCATCCACCCTCCAGTCTCTACTTTTCTCTGTCTGGTAGGTTATGCGTCAGTTCCTGAAAGGTGGGGACATTTCCTGACACATTTGCAACACTATGAAGTCACCCTAAGGGACAGTTGATCCTCTTCTGCACACCAAGCCTAGCTGTGAGGACTGGGTTTGGGGACAGCTTAGCCGGGGACGACTCTGCCCCTGGCCCCCCCCACCCCCGCTTGGCCTTTCTGACCCCTGGCAGCTCTAGACCTCTCAGTGTCCACCTGATCATGTCCCTGGCTGAAGCCATCAGCCTCTGGAATGAAGGGGTGTTGGCAGCTGACAAGAAGGACTGGAAGGGAGCCCTGGAGGCCTTCAGCTCAGTCCAGGACCCCCACTCGCGGATTTGCTTCAACATGGGTTGTATGCACAGCATCCTGGAGAACATGCCTGAGGCCGAGAAGGTGAGTGAGGGGCTGGCTCCCTCCTCTGTGCTCAGGGAATTATCGCTGCCTAGAAACCCAGCCTCCCAGGAACCCTGCAAGGACAAGCCTTCTAGGCCCCACCCAGAGGTCCCCACTGACTTGGCCTGGGGGAAGGGCCTGTCAGCCACTGTTGTAAAAGCTCCCCAGCTGGTTCCCCAGGTGACAGGGTGTGTCATGCTCCACTCGTTATGGGATCCAAGCCAAAGCAAGTGTTCTTCAACACCTTTAGGAAGACTCCCAGTTGTATTTTCTTCTACCAATTCCTCCTGGACGTAGGCTTTGTATGCTGCCACCTTCTGCCTGATTCTAAGGTGTACGCTAGAACGTTCCAAGAATTTCATGGGTGTCAGCGTCACCTGTCTGAGCGAGGGAGGCATTGGTAAAAAACAGGTTTCCTTCCAAGTGACAATTCTGATCGATCTGCTGGGCACGCTTAAGGATCCTAAGGCATAGTGTGATTGATTAATGATGTCTGCCAAGCCCATGGTGTGGGGTGTCTAAATATCTTTTTAAGGTATTTTTTCTCCCTTACAAAACCTGTCCTGTGTGGGGCTGTGCATTCTCAAAGATTACTTTTTAGAACTGAGCATAATAAAGCGGAAGGGCATGGAGTTTGGAAGCAGAAGATCGAGGATCAAATCCCAGCTGTTCTGCCTCCTGACCGTTTAGTGTTAAGCAGGCCACAAAAACTCCTGGCTCTCAGCATCTTGGAGGTTTAAGAATCATGAGGATTAAGTGAGACGCCAACTAGTAAAGTGCGGTACAACTGGGCAACGTGGTATGCAAACAAACAATGAATTCCCCAGCACCCTTAGAGACCACTTGATCCCACAGTTATCCTGTGAGCCAGAGGGGAACAAACCTCAGTCACACCCTCCTGACAGGAGCCAACAAGTAGCTCAAGATGCTCCCACATCTGACAAGCCCAGCTCAGGCTCCAGAGTGGTGAACGGGCAGGCAGGAGCAGGTGTGTATGTGAGGGCATGGCCTCTGCCTGCAGGGAGGGCTGTGACCCAACTTCCCTCCCCTGCTTGCTGAGGACCAAGCACCAGCACCACATTCTGAGGGTGGTGAAGGTACGGTGCACACTCTCAGGCAAAGGAAGTAGCTGGTCCAGGTACAGCTCCACCAGCAGGGCCCATTGACTTCTACCTTAGCCTTGACAAATGATCCTTGGCCAGGCTGTCCTGGCCATGGCATGCTTTTGGCTTCCTGGCTCCTGTGCTCTTGGGTCTGCAATCTTCTTGAACTCTTCTGAGGCTGGCCCTTCTCATTCTCTCTTCTCTGTTTCTTTGTTTTCTTGCTTGAACCCTTACTATTAGATATATATATATATATCTAATATATCTATATCTATATATCTATATATATATTTAGAGAGAGAGAGGGAGAGAGAGATAGCTATATATATGCTATTAGTTTAATTATATAATACTGATAGAATAAATTTATATCATAAATATAATGATTTATATTTTTTAATTACATTATTTTCACTTAAATTAATTTTACTAATGGATCCTGCCAGTAATCTTGAAAGGCAGGTAAGAATATCCCCTTTTTTACAGAGCAAAAAACTGAGGTTTGGAGATAGGTAACTTGCCACATGCTATGGAAGGAGGAAGTGGTACCTCAGAGTGTCCTGATGCAGGGGGCCTGTGCCCCACGCCTCCGGCCTGTGACCTTGAAGAGCTGCATGGTTCCTGCACCCCTCCTTGACTCTCCTTTGGGCTCATCTCACACCTCCTCTCCAACTCACTCATGGCCACGTATGGGTCCTCCTCTCCGCAGGCCTTCACCCAAAGCATTAACCGAGACAAGCACTTGGCAGTGGCTTACTTCCAGCGAGGGATGCTGTACTACAGGATGGAGAAGTAAGTGGCACCCACACTGGGGAGGTTCCAAGAGAAACCCAAGGGTCTCAGTGCTGCTAGACCTGGTTTTCAAAAAGTGCTTCTGGCCTGTGTAGGGAGGAAGCCTGACTGGTGCTTCTCAGGCAGTCACAGAGGAAGCAGAGGCTCACTGGGGAGGGAAGACAGGCCTGCCTGGACTGTTGGCCAGCTGGCCATACTCACAATGAGCCTAGAAAGCAGCACAGGCTTGCTATTCAGCCAGCATGATACCCTACCAGTGTCCCTGATGGGGTCACCCATGGTGGCCTAGAACTCTGAAGTACTGAGCTGTTCCAAAATGAGAATTATCACAAAACCACATCAAAACCTGTCTTCATCCCAGCAAAATGTGCACAGCCCAGTTCAATCCACTCAATGCAATATGATTCGGCCACAAAAATGAGAAGATGGGCTATTAACAGTGTATGGATAAAAATAACTTAATACAGATAAATAAGAAGTATATATTAAAATAGAGGAAGTTCACAATGTATGTCACTTTTCTTTTTTATAGGACTGGGGTTTGAACTCAGGACTTAAAAGCACGCACTCTACCACTTGAGCCACACCTCCAGTACATTTTGGTCTGGTTATTTTGGACATGGGAAATATTTGCCTGGACTAGCCTTGAACTGTGATCCTCCTGATATCAGCCTCTAAGTAGCTAGGATTACAGGAGTGAGCTACCAGCCCATGCTATAGATGTCAAATTTTTTAAAAAAGGTTTTATCTTAGAACAGCGTGTATAATTCAATGCCATTTGTTTCGTAGAATAAAGACTAGAAAGCCATAGACCAAAATATTATTGGTAATCCTTCTGAATGGTGGGATGATAGGGAACTCCATTCTATCACCTTATCTTCATTTTTGATATGTTCATAGTCAACGTGAAATGATCAGTAAAAAGATAAATTTTAAAAATGAATGTTAATATCAATTCCTACTTTCCCTTAGATGCCCAAACAACAAATAAGTAACAAAGGAAAAATATTCTCAATGTAAACCACAAATGTTTTGGGAAGACCTCAAACTGACCCCTTAGAGAAATTTTCCAGCCGCACGCACAAGTTCTGGGGAAGACGAATTTGGCTCAGGCTAATGAGGAACTTCCTAGCAGTGAAACTGGTCCAAGCATGGTGTGGGTGGGGATGCAGGTAGGCAGGGCATGAGAGAGGCTGCAGAGATGCCAAAGCCTGGAAACAGGCTGGGCTCTGGTCCTGGGCCATTTTAGAAGGCTTTGATCCTAGGCCTTAGTCAGAAACGCAGCCTGTAAAGTGTATGTGCTCAGTTGTTGCTAGGGGCAGTGACAAGATGTTCAGAGGACTTCAAAGATGTAGATGTGGTCAATTATCTGAAGAAGAGTATATATAAGCGAAGTCTCCTCAGAAGAAAAGGTACAGACAGAGAGGCAATCAGCAGAGAGAGTCTGGGACAGCAAGAAGGTACAGGGGTGTCTACCTCCATCGGCACTGTGCCTCCATCTAACCCGCTGTCACCCTTCTTAACGTCCTTCTTCTCATTCCCTCCTCCCCGCATCTTATACATTCTCCACATGTATGGAACATGCATGGAGACCAAGCACAAATCCTCCAGCCTATTTGAAATTTCAAAAGACAAACTCTAAGGCCATCCCTTTAAATCAGCTTTAACAACCTATAATAAGAGACACCAGAGCAAGAGGGAGGGCACCCAGAAGGTCTTTTCATTTAAAAATGCTGGGAGGTTCCAGAGCCTGGAAGGCTAAAACTTTGAGCAAGTTAGAAAGACGTAGGGATAAGACCCAGGAACTCAGCTAATCTGCTAGTTAAATAATAGTTGAATCTGAGAAAAAAAATCCTGCCAAATTTAATCTTCAGTTCAGCAATTCTCTAATGAGGAACTAATATCAATGAGGCACCATTCTCAGCCCCAAGCTGGCTCCTTTCTTTTGCCCAGTCCTTAGGTGTTGTCATCCACCTAACATTCTGTTTTCTTTTCCCTTATCTAGCAGGGAAATTGATAGCAGGGGTTGTTAAATGACAAAATGTCTAGGCTCTCTTCCTACAAACAACACAGGAGCACATGCCCCTTCCATGTACATTTTCGGGGGATATGGACATGAAAGCCCATATGTAACCTTAAGGACCATTTCTGGACACCACCACCCTCTCCCAAAGCACTGGACTCCACTCCTAACCAGCCAACTCTGAAATGTGTCACTGGGATCAACTCAGAATATCCTTTACCTTAAACCTCATCAGGCTTCCCATTCCTATTTGCGCTGTTTTGTTTTAGACCCTCATTTTTCACCAGTACTACTGCGGACACTTCCGAACTGATTTCCCAGCCAGACTGAGCATATCAAATCCACATGAGATCTTCCAGGTCTCATTGCTGCAGGATAAAGGCTAACGGCCTTGCCCAGGCCTCTGTTGTTCTTCTTTAAAGGTCTGATAGAATTCAGCAGGGAATCCATCAGGTCCTGGACTTTTCTTTTTGGGGAGACTCTTGATTGCTGCTTCAATTTCATTTTGTGTTATAGGTCTATTCAGGTGATTAATTTCCTCTTGGTTCAGTTTTGGATGATCATATGTATCTAGAAATCTGTCCATTTCTTTTAGATTTTCAAATTTATTTGAATATAGGTTCTCAAAGTAGTCTCTGATGATTTCCTGGACTTCCATGGTGTTTGTTGTTATCTCCCCTTTTGCATTCCTGATTCTACTAATTTGGGTTTTTTCTCTCCTCATTTTAGTCAGGTTTGCCAGGGGTCTATCGATCTTGTTTATTTTTTCAAAGAACCAACTTTTTGTTTCATTAATTCTTTGTATGGTTTTTTTGGTTTCTATTTCGTTGATTTCAGCTCTTATTTTTATTATTTCTCTCCTTCTATTTGTTTTGGGATTTGCTTGTTCTTGTTTTTCTAGGAGTTTGAGATGTATCATTAGGTCATTGATTTGGGATCTTTCAGTCTTTTTAATATATGCACTCATGGCTATAAACTTTCCTCTCAAGACTGCCTTAGCTGTGTCCCATAGGTTCCAGTAGGTTGTGTTTTCATTTTCATTGACTTCCAGGAACTTTTTAATTTCCTCTTTTATTGCATCGATGATCCATTCTTCATTAAGTAATGAGTTATTTAGTTTCCAGCTGTTTGCATGTTTTTTGTCTTTACTTTTGTTGTTGAGTTCTACTTTTACTGCATTGTGGTCAGATAGTATGCACGGTATTATTTCTATTTTCTTATATTTGCTGAGGCTTGCTTTGTGCCCTAGGATATGATCTATTTTGGAGAAGTTCCATGGGCTGCTGAGAAGAATGTATATTGTGTAGAGGTTGGATGAAATGTTCTGTAGACATCTACTAGGTCCACTTGATCTATTGCATATTTTAGATCTTGGATTTCTTTATTGATTTTTTGTTTGGATGACCTATCTATTGATGATAATGGGGTGTTAAAGTCTCCCACAACCACTGTGTTGGCGTTTATATATGCTTTTAGGTCTTTCAGGGTATGTTTGATGAAATTGGGTGTGTTGACATTGGGTGCGTACAGATTGGTGATTATTATTTCCTTTTGGTCTATTTCCCCTTTTATTAGTATGGAATGTCCATCTTTATCTCGTTTGATCAATGTAGGTTTGAAGTCTACTTTGTCAGAGATAAGTATTGCTACTCCTGCCTGTTTTCGGGGCCATTGGCTTGGTAAATCTTCTTCCAGCCTTTCATCCTAAGCATATGCTTATTTCTGTCGGTGAGATGAGTCTCCTGTAAGCAACAAATTGTTGGATCTTCTTTTTTAATCCATTTTGTCAAACGGTGTCTTTTGATGGGTGAATTAAGTCCATTAACATTAAGCGTTAGTACTTACAGGTATGTGGTGATTCCTGCCATTTAGTTGTCTTAGTTGTTTGAAGGTTTGATTGTGTGTACCTAACTTGATGTTACTCTCTACTGTCTTGCTTTTTCTTATCCTGTGGTTTGGTGCTGCCTGCCTTTTCATGGTTAAGTTGGGTGTCACTTTCTGTGTGCAGGATCCCTTGCAGAATCTTTTGTAATGGTGGCTTTGTGGTCACATATTGTTTTAGTTTCTGCTTATCATGGAAGACTTTTATTGCTCCATCTATTTTGAATGATAGCTTTGCTGGGTAGAGTATCCTGGGGTTGAAGTTATTTTCATTCAGTGCCCGGAAGATCTCACCCCACGCTCTTCTTGCTTTTAATGTTTCTGTTGAGAAGTCTGCTGTGATTTTGATGGGTTTACCTTTGTATGTTACTTGTTTTTTCTCTCTTACAGCCTTCAATATTCTTTCCTTAGTTTCTGAACTTGTTGTTTTAGTGATGATATGTCGTGGAGTAGTTCTATTTTGATCTGGTCTGTTTGGTGTCCTGGAGCAGGCCTCTGTTGTTTAGCTGTTGACTGCCGCTCACTCATCCTGCATGCATGCCTCACCTCAGCCACATTAACTCGGGGGTGGCAACCGTACCCTCTTCTGTGTCTCTTCTTGTGACATCTATCCAGCCTATGACAGATAATTGCCTGTCTCTCTCTGTCTTCCCTCTCTCTTTTTGGCAGAACTAGGTTGAGCTCAGAGCCTTGCACTTGCTAGGCAGGTGCTCTACAGCCTGAGTCACTCCACCAATTCTTCTTACATTGGTTATTTCTGAGATAGGGTGTTGCTTTTTGCCCAGGCTGGCCTCAAACCTTCCAGAATCCTCCCTATCTCTGCCTTCTGAGTAGGTGGGATTACAGGCTTTAGCCACCGCTCCCTGCCTGTGAGTTTCTCAAGAAATTCTTACAAACTCATGCCGGTACTTCAGTGCCTAGATAGTAATTACTCAATAACTGATTATTGAATTAATTAAATGAAAATGAACAAAGTTTTTGCTTCAAGGAACTTATAGTTAAAAAAAGGGGAAACAAGTCAGCAATAGCAATAACTATGATGCAAGGCAGAACTGGGCAAATGCTGTGAGCACTACATTGAAATAAGTGCTGTGGGGACTTCTTTCTTCCTGGGTGGCTTAGGAATTCCCTCCAATGGCAGGGGGATTTGTTTTAGGGCAATCATGTTATGAATGGTGCCTTTTTCTGTTTTCCCAGTTCTATGCTGTGGTGTTGCTCTTCTGTTATTAGAAGGCTCCAGCAGAACAAAAAGTGCATTCCTGAGGAGGCGGGTGATATCTCAGAGGTGACCCTGCCAATGCTGTCTCCCTTCTCTGGCCCTAGCTTTGTCATCCCAAAATGGGAAGGGGCTCTAAGTTGTCCTTCACACCCTCTGCCTGGTGAATCTTAGGGCTGTGAAAATAAAAGAGTGGTAAGACTTTTCTGATGGAGCTGGCTGAAAAAGGAGAGACACAAGGCCTTCCTACTGAGCTAAAGATGGGGAAAGGGCTGGACCCCAGCCCCTGTCAGAGCTGCATCCAGCATCCCAAAAGCTCACAGTATCCTGGATACTGCAGCTGCAGGATTCTAGGCTGTGTGGGGAACAGCAGGACGTTCAGGTTACTAAGAAACCTTTACAAAGCCTGTTACCAAACTAAGACAATCAGGAGCCCTTTCCAGCCAGAAGCCTGGGAGAAGCCATGGCAGAGGGCCCTGCCTAGAGGTGTAGAGGCTCATGCAGCACAACTAGGGTGTCGCTGGGTGGACACACAGAGCCCTCAGAGCCTACAGGTAGTGGCTGCTCCTTGGCTGTCTCTTGGGAGATTTTCAAATGGACCAGAAGAGAACTTTAAAGGGGCCAGAAGGAGCCAGGACTGGGCCCATGACACACAACCCGGCTCTGTTTGGGACTTTTCATACTGCCCTCGTTCAGAGAAGTGCAGTGAGAAACAGAGCTGTATCTCAAAGTGGAGTCCCCACTCCTGCTGGGTGCAGCCTCCATCATCAGGTGCAGGGAGGAGGAAAAGGAAGACGAGAGGCCAGGAGCAGGGAGAGAGGGGACTCCCAGGCAGGAGGATGCGTTCAGAGATGTGTGTTGTAAAGGATATTAGAAGGGATAACCCCACCTGGTTTTTCTCACTCAAATCAAGACCTGTGGATTAATTTGCTGGTTGTTTCCTCTCCCAGCCCCCACTGGGGACATCTTGATGAGCTAGAGAATTACAAGGCGAGTTTTGCTGGTTCCTACAAGCAGACTCAGGCATCTCTCTTCACAGCTGGAATCCATCAGCTTAGCCAGCTCAGCAGGGAGGCAGGCACATTTGTAGGTTAATGCTGATGCCACTTAAAGTGTGCCCTCTGAGACCTGCAGCTGGCTCTCAAACCAGCTATGGAACATGAGTGGAGGAGATTGCAGCTGCCAAGGGAACAGGACACCTGCCCCCTCCTTCTTGGCATAGGAAACCAGCCTGCTGCCTAGCCTTTTGGTTTAGAAAGAGGAACTCATGACATCAACCTACCTCCTCTTCTTTTACAGGGTCACCTGAGGGATGTGTGGCAATGACTTGAATGCCCATTGCTTCCTAAGGAGGAGCCTGCATGCTTTCAATGCACTTGCTGCCATCTTTGTTAACAGCAAGCTTTCAGCAGAGGCCATCCTCCTTTTTAAAAACCCAGGCTCTCCTCTCTCTTTGCCTTGGTAGCTACCTCTGATGCTTTGTTTGACTCTAGCAGGGATGGCAAGTCCAGCTTCTTCCCCCCAATGCCCTGGGCCCCAATCCTTAGGCTCTCCTGGCCAACCAGCCCTCCTGGCCAGCTCCAAGCCTCCCTGAAATCATAGTCCCTGCTTGACATAGCATAGAGCTTTAAATAAGCAGGTAATAAGTGATTGGTGCATAGGTTTAATTTGTAGGTTTTTTATTGTGTTTGGTTTTGCTTTGGTGGTACAGGGTTTTGAACTCAAGGCCTTGCACTCTGTAGTTAGTACAGTTTTGGAGCTGAAAAATGTAATGAATTATTCCTGTGAGTGTCAGACACTTTTCTAAGCACCTAAATGATTTGGTCCACTGAGTGCTCAGACACCCCTGGGAGGTATGTGTTATTGCTGTTCTTACTAAAGATAGGAAACAGACTTGGAGAGATGGAGTAACTTGCCTTTCATCACTGGATGTGAGAGGCTGAGCCAGGACTCAAGGCCAGTTGGTTTTGACTCCAGAGATCAGATCTGGAACCACACAGTAGCAACTCCTTATGCATGTGCACTTTGTATGTAATCTACTCCTTGTAAATACTGTGCCTCCATATTACTGAGAAGTCACTTGCTAGGGTCTCCCAGTGTGGAGAGTGGATTATGAGAAGCCTGTGAGAACTGGACATAAGCAAGGCGAGATGCAGCTCAACTGTTTTTCCTAAGATTATCTGTAGGCCGAGATAGGCACAGCCCTGGCCATGGAATAGCGAAATGCAGAACAGCTGCTTCTAAGTTGTTTACATTCAGAGAAGCAGGAGCTCAGGTGTCTCCTGTTAACAATGTCATGCCCTCACCCAAGAACCTCACTCTGCCTTGTTTATCACTGGGTATAAAAAACTCCCTGAAAGAGGATGCAAGGCTTTTGCTTTGGGGCTTTTTGCTTAAGCCTTTTGCTTTTGGCTTTCTGATGGGGAAGGCCTTTTTGATGTGGGAGGCTTTTGGAAAGGAAAAGAACTGCTGAAGGGAAAAGATTGTTGCAAGGAAAAGAATTGCTAAATGGGAATTGCTAGCAAGCCTGAGGGCTGAGGCTTTAAGAAAGGTAATGAGAGAACATGGGACAGTGCAAGTGTGCACTGAGAACTTTATACATAGGCTGAAGAAAAGCTTACAGTGCAAGTCTAAGGACTGAGATGTTAAGAGTATGCATATGCAGATTTCAGGCTCGGCTGTTGTTTGCAAGTCTGAGCACTGAGGCTTTAAGAAAGCTAAGGAGACAGTGCAAGTCTAGGGGCAAAGTCTTTGAGAGATTATGCTAAAGAACAGCTAAGAGAAAACATGGGACAGAGTGAGTCTAAGGAAAGAGGTTTTAAGCAAGGTTTTAAAGAACTGCAAGGAGTAAGGCCTTAAAGAATAAAGATAGAGAAAAGAAGCAAAGAGGGTTGGGCGTCTCCACCCAAGTGCTCAACACACCTGATCTCACTTTCTGTCTGTCTATCCTGTGTCTTTTCTGAATCTCCAGTTGCCCCCAGTTAGCCCCAGTTAGGTTCAGTAATAACCAGGAGTGAGAGAAAACTCACTCCAACAAGGGAGTGAGAGAAAAAAGCTTGCTCCATTCCAGTTAATGGTAGGCCTGCTTGATGTGTTTCCTGGCTCCTGTCCCCAGCCCCAGGGTACCTTCCCTCTACGATGCTACCTCCTGAGAAACCTGCCAGCCTGTGTCCAAACTCCAGTCTTGTCTCTAAGAGAAGCCCTGGATGCAACTCTGGATAACAGTTGTCTAGGGTCTTTTGGCCTCACACCCAGGTGGGAGTCACAACCAAGCAGCCAAATTTGTTCCTGCTAGGCCAGAGGGCTGAGTGGAGTGACAAGAAGGATAGCTTGTCTTTTGCTGTCCCCACCTCCAGCAGCCCAGCAATTGTCCCCTCTCACCAGGGCCTCCGAGGGCCCAGGACAGGTCACAGCCTAAGTTGGTTTCCTCAGAAGTATGAATCTAGGTCCTGACTACACCCCTGCAGAACTTACTGATGTGGTCAACCCTAATTCACTGCCATGATTGTAAGGAGAGCAGCCCCATACACCTTAAGCCAGTCAGTACAATGCCAATCCAACACAGCTCGAAGTGGCAGGTACAAGGAACAGTGTCAGAAATAAGGTATGGCTTCCATACTTGTTATCCCCTCCTTTCCAAAGTGTATGGAGGAAGCAGAAGGCGAGAGGAGACTATGAAGGCCACAAAACCAAGAGCTAAGAGAAGGCTGTGGCAGGAGGTAATGTCAGCAGCTGTGAGGAGGGGCCCCTCAGAGCTGTGCCCAGCTGGCCTACGTTGCAATGGCAGGGAGGGAGAAGAAGTGGGAGGCAGGAGTGTTCCAAGTCAGCTCCACAGGGACACAGGTATGTGCAAGTGTGACTCCGCTTGGAGCTCTCAAGAGAGATTGAGGGCTGTATATGAAGGTGACAAACCAGGCTGTCAGGAAGGTGGGAGTTGTATGCAGTCTATAGAGAAGACAATCCCTGTGACTATCCAGACTGGTGGCCCACTGGAGGCTATGATGCACAGATCTAGGGCGTATGCTCATACTGAGTCTACAGAATCCTTGGGCCAGGATTTATGAAAAACTAGGTAAAAAGAAATGTTAACGGCTTCTCCCAGTAGATGAACGGGGAAGGGACAAGCAAGAGACAGTTTATTCTTCAACTCTTCCTCCATGTCCTAGACTGGTTTATCCCCTCTCTGTGTCCACAGATATGACTTAGCTATCAAAGATCTTAAAGAGGCCTTGACTCAGCTTCGGGGGAACCAGCTGATTGACTACAAGATCCTAGGGCTGCAGTTCAAGCTGTTTGCCTGCGAGGTAAGGAGTTCAGGGCTGGCCTGGGCAGGGTGCTTACCATGCACAGTAGTCTGCTGATGCCTGCATAGGCTTGTCAGTCATTTTGCCTCCTGTGCCCAAGACTCAGAGTTTTTTTTTTTTTTTTTTTTGTGGTACTGGGGTTTGAACTCACGGCCTTCACCTTGAGCCACTCCACCAGCCCATTTTTGTGACGGGTATTTTCGAGGTAGGGTCTCACAAACTATTTGCCAGGGCTGGCTTTGAACTGAGATCCTCCTGATCTCTGCCTCCTGAGTAGCTAGGATTACAGGCGTGAGCCACTGGAGCCCGACCTCAGAGTACCTTTTAAGAAAAGACTCAGGTGTGCTGGAGATCTAGCTCAGTGGTAAAGCACTTAGCCCTAGTACTGTAAAAGTAAGTAAATATAGGAAGGAAGGAAGGAAGGAAGGAAGGAAAGAAGGATAATAGATTCAAATGTCATAAGGCTCCTTGTAAAGTCGTTAGCAACCTGAGAGTATGCATTTTATTAATATCAGGCTCAAACATCCATGCAAAAACGAGCCCACTTGTCTCTCTGCAGAAGTAATTATAGTAATTTGCATGTTTTGTTTAGCAATTCTGGCTGACAAGCTATTTGCTCAGCGTTATGCTAACAAATCCGAGATCATGGGATCAGCCTCCTTGTAGCACGTGCTGTAACTTCTCAGTTCCCGGGCTACAGACCACACTAGTTATTATTAAGGAATCGAACCCCGTGTATTTGGTCAACACTCTAAGAGAGAAAAATTATACTTTGCCACCAATCTGTCCTCTCTTGCTCAAAGAACTGCTCAAAACACAAGTTTAGGTAGTTTTCCATAGAAGGACATCTTCTTTTCTGCATTACCAAAAAGGAGAGACATGACTGACTTGGACCTACAAATTCATGTCCTTTTTCCAGACAGTCCTCCCCACCCCCAAATATACACCAGAAGCTTTAAAAACTAAAATCCTTGTGAATATCATGGATCTTTATTTAGAAGAATTGCTGGGGGTAAAAAAAATCCCCTTGCTTTCGTTTCTCAGACCCAAGGTGTCAAGTGTTCCCAGGGTCCCTCGGGGCTAAAAATAAAAAGAGTCCACAGTTGCCCAGGGCCCCTGGGGACATGTGGCCCCACCCTAGCCTGACAGCTACTTGACTTCTCACAGTCTGGGAAGATGAGGCTGGGAACTGGCTGGCATTTGATCAGCTTCTAAAAGAGTGTTGGACCAGACAGTTCTTTCTTGGGGGGTGGGTAATGGGAGTCTGTACATTGCCAGACATTTAGCAGCATCCCTGGCCTCCACCCACCAGATTCTAGTAGCTCCTCACTCCCAGTCATGATGACCAAAACTGTCCCTAGATGTTACCAGTCACCCCACTGAGCACTACTTACACAGATTAAAGGGTTGGGGGATCAAAGGGGTCTAGTAAAAGGACCCTGCACGGCAGCATTAAAGCTGAACTCATGAGAGGAAGGTCCTCCCTGTTGCTGAGGTTGAAATGACCTGAGGATCAGGACATACTGGCTGAGTGGACCTGTCTGCAAGTGGGAATCATCTAGTCATTTCCCTGCCTACCCCATTCTTATTGAGGAACCTCAGGTTTTCCTAGTCACCAAGTCATAAAAACTAGTTGTGGGGAAAGGTCCCAAGAGAAAGTGGCTGAGAACCAAATGAGAGTGTGAACCACCCAAGTTCTCCTTCCTTTCTGCACACATGGTCATGGGTATAGGTCGGGGTCATGGTTAGGGCAGCCATGCTTATACAGATGCTTATTGACTTGAGATCACAGGTTCTGTCCAGATAAACCCATCTTAAGTTAAAAATATCCCAAGTTGAAAGTCATTTAACACCCAAGCTGCTGGACAGCAAAATAAGCAGTATACCGTTTATCCTTGTGATCGTGCGGCTGATGGGAGCTGCAGCTACATCCACTGGCTAAATTGTATGGCCTTGGCAAAGATCAAAATTCAAAGTTTGAAGTAACATTTCTACTGAATGCATACTACTATTGTAGTCAAAAAAATTCCTAAGTCCAGGCTTACTCAGCCAGGGACCATCTGTTGGCAGAAGGCAGCAGCTCACTGATGCTCAGAAATAGGCCTAGAAGGGAGAACAAACAGATCTCCACTTCTGGAATTGGTCCTGGCCCCCACTAACTGGCATGGAGGTACCCATCCTATCATGCATGCATATCTGGCAAATTTGTGCTTGGTGTTGGCAGGAGGCCACTATTCTTTCCATCTGAGGGCTGCCTGAGTCTTGTCATGACATGGCAGCTGGCATCCCCCAGAGTGATCCAAGACAAGGTAAGATGGAGTGCTAGTGTCCTTCATAACCAGAGCTGCAAAGGTCACACTGATTCATTTCCATAATATCCTTTTTTTAGTAGTTTTTTAATCTTGCTAATGCATTCACAAGATTGCTTGATTTTGTGTGAAAGTTATGAAGCATGATAATAAAAGAAACTCATGAACCTCCTGCTCAACTAAAGACCTGAGAAATGGCAAATGTTGAATTTGCCGTTCTCTCCCCACCCCAGGTACAGTGGCTGGTGTTTGCTCTGCCCCTCTCCAACTATATTGGATTTTACCAGTGCAATCACCTCATTACCCTTGCTATGGTACAGTCTTGTTCTCACGTGGCCTGGCCAGGTTCCACCAGTGCAGGTGCAGGATGCTCCTTTTAGAACCTTCTCCCACCTTGCACCTGCCCCATAGCTCAGCCTCCACTCAGAGGCAGGAAGCTGCACTGGGAGCCCCAAACCTGCATTTTCGTCCCAACTCTGTCTCTTCCTCTTCAGTGTGCCCTGGGCAAGCTGTTCTTCTCCATGTTAAAACAACACAAGAGGGCTGGCCGAGTAGCTCAAGGGATAGAGAGCCTGCCTAGCAAGCATGAACCCTGAGTTCGAACCCCAGAGCGCCCCCCCACAAAAAAAAATCCCATAGTAGTTCTCATTTCCTCTTAACCCACTTGGTTGTTAGAAGAATGTCCAATACATATTGAGTTTCCATATCACGATGCTCTCTTAGCGCCGTGCTTGTGTTGTTCAAGTAATCATTTGATGCTTTAGACATTCCAGGAGGTCTGGGGAAGGCAACACTGCCTGTGGGTACATGTGAGCCCTAGATTTGAAGGAGTCTCGAGTTTGTGTGTGGCCTCTGGTCTTCCAGGTGTTATATAACATTGCTTTGATGTACGCCAAGAAGGAGGAATGGAAAAAGGCTGAAGAGCAGTTAGCACTGGCAACAAAGATGCAGTCCGAGCCCAGGCACTCCAAAATTGACAAGGCCATGGAAAGTGTCTGGGTAAGTGGCTGGCGATGTGGGTGGGCGAGGACTTCCCTGGATTCCTACTTGTTTCTGGATACACCATGGGTGGGGGCGGAGGGACTGTGCCTTTCTGTGTGTTCTGGGCATCACTGCTCTTTCAGCATTGTTCCATTTAAGATCTGAATCTGTGCTGAGAGACCGAGGCCTAGAGTATGGAATAGCAGAGCCCCTGAATCCCTCGTAGTGGAGCCTCCCAGCTTCCCAGCAGCCCCAGGAAGCAGGATGTTAGAGGCTGTCCAAGCATTGCAAGAACAGGGGCTGTTTGACTGCTCACCTTCATGTCCTCACAGCCTGGCCCAGTGCCGGGGACAACATAGATCTCAACAAAAATTTATTGATTCTGTGAAGGAATGAGCAAAATTATCCATAGTGTGAGCGCATCTGGAAATGGAGCTGGGTTTGAATGAGATCTTTGAAACAGCAGGAAGAAGAGGCCCAAGTCAGCCTTTGTATGGCTGTACACATCAGCAATGCTAGTCCCAAGAGAGCATTTACTGTCAGACCCTTGCTTAAGTCCTGGGTCAATCTCGTGGTGGTGCCCCTTATGCTGGGAGAAAACCCCAAAATACCATGCAGAGTGGGAGAGGGGCAGCACCCCTAGGGAAGTGGGTGCTGGGCAAATCATACCAGCAGAAGGTGATGTTAAAACCAATGGCTCCTCCCCTCACACTCCAGCATAATTACAGGATCTTCCTGGCCAGTTTGCAAGCTTACTTCAATGGATCCTTGCATCTGTGCAGCAAGGGAAGCATTTTCAGATGAGGAGAGTAGCAAGACATCCTTTTTCAGATAGTAAGACATCCATTTTCAGATGAGGAGAGTAGCAAGACATCCTTTTTCAGATAGTGAGACATCCTTTTTCAGATGAGGAGAGTAGCAAGACATCCTTTTTCAGATAGTAAGAAAGACATCCATTTTCAGATGAGAGTAGTAAGACATCCTTTTTCAGATGAGGAGAGTAGCAAGACATCCATTTTCAGATGAGGAGAGTAGCAAGACATCCTTTTTCAGATAGTAAGAAAGACATCCATTTTCAGATGAGGAGAGTAGTAAGACATCCTTTTTCAGATGAGGAGAGTAGCAAGACATCCATTTTCAGATGAGGAGAGTAGCAAGACATCCTTTTTCAGATGAGGAGAGTAGCAAGACATCCTTTTTCAGATGAGGAGAGTAGCAAGACATCCATTTTCAGATGAGGAGAGTAGCAAGACATCCTTTTTCAGATAGTAAGACATCCATTTTCAGATGAGGAGAGTAGTAAGACATCCTAGTTAGTGTAAGCAGATGCTAAGATGCTTTCACAATGACTCAACAACTAACAAGGCATTTCTCAGAACCTGTTGCCTTGGCTAGGCGACATGTGACTGTCCCTTGTTTCTGTATTACAGAAACAGAAACTGTACGAGCCAGTCATGATCCCTGTGGGCAGGCTGTTCCGACCAAATGAGAGACAAGTGGCTCAGCTGGTCAAGAAAGATTACCTGGGCAAGGCCACGGTAGGTGCTGCTCATCTTCCCAAATGACCTGGGCCACGTGTGACAGGGAAGGAGGGACCCTTGGGAAGTGATGTCATCCCTGTGGTTCTGCCCCTAAGTGACAGTGAAAGACTTGTATACAGAGAGGAGGTCTGGCTAAAACATGGGCAAATGCTGCTAGTTACTTTCTCCCAGCCCCTCTCATTTCTTCCATCCAACCTGACCCTGGATGGTAATCCCTGAGGTCACTGCCAGGATGCTGGCTCTTGGGACTGAGCCAGTGGAAAGAAGACACAACTAGAAGGAGCTCACTGGATGTGGAGAGACTGTGTTAGTGGAGAGGACCAGCAAGAGATGCCATTGGCTCAGTGTTCCTTGCTGTTTGCTTCTTGTTCTGAGGAATCTCTCCCCACTTCCACAACCCTAGGCCAGACTCCTTTCTCGACTGGACTTCTTCTGAATCCAGGTCTTAAACCTTTTCACACATGGTCTGAAGTGAGTCAGCAGTTCCCTTCCAAAACTGCATTTGACTTTGACACATTTGTAAATTTGCCCAATGGCTGGGTAGCTGGGTCTGACACAGTAGTGGAGGCCAGAAGAACCTGGGTTAATGTAAATATTTCAGATAGCCATCAATGGATGGATGAATGAATAAACAAAATGTTATATGGTCATACAATGAAATATTACTTAGTCATAAAAAGGAATGAAGTACTGATACATCTTACAATATGGATGGATCTCAAAAACTTAATGCTATGTACAAAAAGCCAGACACAAAAGGCTATCTACTGTATAATTCCATTCATACAAAGTCTTTGAACAGATAAATCTGAGATAGGAAACAAAATGTTGATTGCCAGTTAGAAGGAGGGGGGCTGTCAACTTAACTGCTCAATGGGAATGGCATTTTCTTTTTGGTGGTACTGGGGTTTGAATTCGGGACCTCACATTTGCTAGGCAGGCACTCTACCATGAGCTGCTTTGCCATCTGGGTATGCTATTTTCTTTTGGGGTGATTAAAATGTTTTGAAACTATCTAGAGGTTGTTTTACAAAGGATTGTGTGTATACTAAGTGGCACTGAATTTTCACTTAAAATGGTTAATTTGATTTTATATGAATTGCACCTTAGCAAAAGTTAAAACAAAAACAAAAAAAGAAGCAGCAGCAGACCAGGTGCCAGTGGCTCACATCTGTAATCCTAGCTACTTGGGGGCGCCTGAGATCTGGAGGGTTGAGGTTCAAGACCAGCCTAGGCAAATAGTTCACAAAACCCCATCTCCAAAATAATCAGAGCAAAATGGATTCAAGGTGTGGCTCAAGTGGTAGAGCACCTGTTTTTGGTGTACTTTTGGTGGGTCTTCAGTCCCACCAAAAAAAGAAAGTGAGTGGGTTGTCGATGGTGAGGTGAGTACTAGTTTCTTACTGGAACTTCTAATCTAGAGATCTGTAATCCAGTCCTCAGCCACTGTCCACTTCTGTAGCAAGAATGGATGGGTGGTAGAAAAAAGGAGGGGCTGGCAGGGGATCTCAGAGCTGGGAAAATGGAGCTGGCAGAGTGCTCACCCCCCTGTCCTTGGTTTCAGGTTGTGGCATCTGTGGTAGACCAGGACAATTTCTCTGGATTTGCCCCTCTGCAGCCACAGGTGAGGCAGGATCCAGGGCTGGCAAGCAATGGGTGGGGGGGGTGTTATAAGAGTTTCTCCCATTCTTAGTCCCTGCTCACAATGTCGTGTCAGCTTCATCTCATGTCTTCTGAAGACAGCTCTCTCCCTTCTCCAACATTCCAGACCTCACAGGTCCAAGGGCTCTGTTGATTGTGCCATGAAGCCTGGTCTACTCTCTCAGAAAATTGAAATGCAACCTATGAAAGGCTTCTTAACAAAGCCTCTTCATGGGCACAGAGGCCAGAAGGTAATCCTGTGGCCTGGGGCCTGAGGTCTTGGCTATCCTGGCCCCAGCCATTGGCCTGTGTGCAGGGGATTCCCTTGGGAAACACAAGCCAGGTGCCAAAGCTGGGCTTGGAGAGATGGTTCCAGGTGAACTGGATGGCAGTGTGTGTAGAAATGAAGACAGAGCTTCCTTGAGATAGGAAGAGGTTGAAACAGATTAAGGAAAATACAGCCCTGTAGTGATCAACCATGGTGGGTAAGGGCTTTGGTCAGCAGTGGACAGGAAGGGTGTCCTGAGCCAGGACACCTGCTCTGCAGTCTTCACATACCCTGTGCCCCCCCCCCCAGACAGCACTGACCACTAAGCTGAGGCTGATGACCACTGCTGGACCAGGAGGTGACTAACACTGGGGTTCTGAGGATGGAACAAGCAAAAAGGGACAGAAGAGAGCCAGTGTTGAGATTCTTCAACCTCTTTCTAAGCAGTAAAGTTGAAGAGAGGAAAGATGCCCAGATAAATGGACTCCATGAGACTCAAGACAGAAAAGGGAGTGTGAGTGGAAGGAAATGCTTGCCTGGCCAGTGGACCTCAGTTGATTTTTAAATACCCAGGAGTGCCATGTGATAGCGCAGGCATCAATTATAGAACAGAGCTTGGAAAACTCTCCTGGGAAGAGTATTTCCCAGGGTTTAGTCGGGGCATCCTGTGCCTTCTGCCTGGACAGTGTGCCCATCTGCCAGAAACGAAGTCTTTGTTACCATTAACAGTCTGCTCTCTTTTTTCCCTCCTTCCCCATGGTCCTCCCTGCTTCTTTCTGTTGAATGTTCCACAGGCAGCTGAGCCTCCACCCAGACCCAAAACCCCAGAGATCTTCAGGTAAGTTGAACTTAGATCCATATGCAGAATGGCCAAGCTCTAAGATCGAGTTGATGGCAACGAGAGGTTGAAGATGGTGAAGCTAGGGTTGGGTGTAAACCTCGTGGACTTTTGTAGGATGTTAGTTAGGCTCCTTCTGTTTTCAAGATCAGAATAGAATGATACAGTGGGGGATGGGAGTGTTGATTGTAGTGGGGCTGGCCATTTGGGGCGTGGCTGTAGCTCCACATTGTCCCTGTGTCCCCTATTAATGTGAATAGCCACCCATATAGTGTTGAGGTGCAGCAGTGTCCCATGGAACATGTCCCTGGGATAGGGGTCAGTTTTGCACACTGGCCACAGGTCCCTCTGAAGCACTTCTGGAGTCAGGAAGCTCAAATGGTGTCCTCTTTCCTGTGTTGGTGTTTTCTACCCTCTATTGGTAACTGTTTTATGAAGAAGTAAGAGGAAGGACTCAAGAAAAGGAAGTCATTCTTCTGTAAGATGAGAAAAAGAGGGACATAACCAACACACAGCTTTCTTAAGAATCGCCTCAACTTAACAAAGCAGCCTAGCTTGCCCACCAATAAAGGTTAGAAAAAGTGACAAACATAGAGGCAAATAGCAAAGCAAGGGGACCAGCAGGCTCGTTTCTCAGGTCTGTGGCTGGAGAAGTCTATTCCTTGCATGAAGAGTGAGGCCACTGGAAACAAAAGGAAGAGGGCACCTGACACCCCATCCCCTTTGTGAGGGTGGTCTGGAAGCCAGCCTCGTGCTCACTTTTCAAGGTGCCACAGATCAGTTTCCCCAGAGTGTCGAGGAGTACCATGGGTTCTGAGGCTCCATGAAGTGGGCACCTTGTCTTGCCTTGCACACAGCAAGGCAGCTTCTGTGTGACCCTCTATGCCCTTCCCTTCCTACTGCACAGCTCATCTTTCTTGCTCTTCATTCCTTCCTCTATCTTGGTCCAATGCCGGCCTGGGTGACTTCTTCCGGTTCATCTTTCTCACCTGGTTCTCTTCTGACTTCTATACCTTGTGCCATTCCTCTCGGCATACTCCTGACCTACCCCAGTCCAGACTTGGGATGTAGCCAGGAACTTCTTTCTCAGAGGGGAGGGGAGGGCAAGGATTGTAAGGTCTCGTTAACTATAGATTGGCTTCTTCTTTTGTTCTTGCTCTATAGCACATCTTGCAGTCCCCCTTTATCTGTGGTTTTGCTTTTTGCAGTTTCAGTTACCCATGGCCTACCATGGTCCAAAAATATTAAGTGGAAAATTCCTGAAATAAACAAATCATAAATTTTAAAATGCATGCTATTCTGAGTAGTGTGATGAAATCTCACACTTCCAGGCTGCATCCACCAGACTCGTGAATCACCTGTTATTCCAATGTATCCATGCTGTATGTGCTACCTGCTCATCAGTCACTTAGTAGCCATCTGTCTACGCAATCAAGATTGTCTGTCATGGTATCACAGTTCTGTGTTAAAGTAACCCTTGTCTTATTTAATAATGGCCATTAGCTTATGCCAAAGAGAACCAAAAAGTGGGGAAGTTCTTATAAGAGAGGGCAGGAACAATTTGCTGAGGTTGCTAAACTCTACAGTAGAAACAAATCTTTTATTGTGAAATTGTTAAGAAGGGAAAAGAAATTTGTGCTGGTTTTGCTGTCTCACCTCAAACTGTAAAAGTTACAGCCATACTGTGTGTTAAATGTTTAGGGCAATTTGTGTTTACAGCCCTAGTAGGAGTATATTTAGGATTCAGTGCTACCTGTGGTTTCAGGCTTCACTGGGGGTCTTGATCACATCCCCTGTGAATGAGGGGGAGGAGTTGTGTGGTTACAGAGCACACTCAAACAGTTCTTACCTAGTCCTCTCAGGAGCACAGTCGGGCAAGCACCCTGCTCAGGTCACATAGCAGTTGGATTTGGAGTTGGGGTGAGCCTGGAGTCAACCTCGCCTGTGGCTCCAAGTCCACTATGCTATCACACCGTGAGGGGATGAGATGCAAGCTAAATAGTGGCCTGGATCTCATGTCTTACCCCTCTGCAGGGCCCTGGAAGGGGAGGCTCACCGTGTGCTGTTTGGGTTTACACCTGAGACACCAGAGGAGCTCCAGGTCATGCCTGGGAACATCGTCTTTGTGTTGAAGAAGGGCAATGATAACTGGGCCACAGTCATGTTCAACGGGCAGGTATTCAGAGGACTGGGGAGGTGCCAAGGGTATGGGATCCCAGCAGACCAGACAACTTCTTTGATGAGCACATCTTTGTTTCCCCTTCGATTCCACGCGTGATGTGGCACGGCAGAAAGGGCTGGTTCCCTGCAACTACCTTGAACCAGTTGAGCTGCGGATTCATCCTCAGCTGCAGCCCCAGGTAAAGTAGTGCCAGGCTGGGCTGAGATCCTCCCGCCCTCTGCAGGTGTCTCCCTAAAGGGAGGAAAGTAGTGTGAAAGTAGTCCTGGGCCACTTGAGTTCTCCAGAGATGAACCTAAGGATGTGGGCAAAAGCCCAGATGCACTGGGCTCCTTCACCTCTGTGAATCCTCCTGGTCAGGGTGACTTGGGAAGAAAAGCCAGCAGTACATGAGGGTTAGGGCTTCCCAGATGTGTCTTCTTGACCAGGGAGAATGGTCAATGTGTTGGTTGGTGTGATGTGATTAAAAACAAAAGATCTACTTTAGAGTGTTGAATTGGAGTGGGCCTTGCCAATCACTGCTTCTGAAGCTGCTACTGCCCCCTGTATCCCTCTGCCAGGCCTGGAGAGTGCTCTTGGTTGGACCTGAGCGCCAGTCTAAGTGATCTAAGTGATCAGTTAGAGCAGTCCAGCTTGTCTTCCTCCAGACTCTGCAGCCAGATGTGCATGGGCTCAGCCCTCCCTGGTCAGACTCACTATATCCAATTGCTTTTTTTTTTCTTTTTCTCTTTGGATGGGATTGAAGTTTGAATTTAGGGCTTTGTGCTTGCAAAGCAGGTGCTCGACCACTTGAACCACACCTTCAGTCTATTTTGCTCTGGTTATTTTGGAGATGAAGTCTCTCAAACTAGTTGCCTGGGCTAGTCTTGAACTGCAACCCTCCTGATCTCAGCCTCCCAAATAGCTAGAATTGCTAAAAGGCATGAGCCATCAGCACCTGGCTATGTCCAAGTGCTTTGAGTAGTTCCAAATGACATGCAAATGGATAATGGGGTTTTCCCCCTTCTCAGTGCCCTCTGTAGTCAGGACAAGAGCCCAGTGGCCTCCCTATGGGCCACTAACAGGAGGATAAGGTGGCAGGGACCTTATATGTGGGCACTAGAGTCTTATTCCTACAGTGATTTTTGCCTCCCCCGTTAACCAACATTGTCCTTAGTCTTCTGTGAGTGTTGCCAACCCCCCAGCTTTTAGGAAGACTTTTGCATCCAGCTTCTTCCCATGGGCGTCCATGGGGCCCTTTCCCCACCCTGAGAACTTAGTCTGAATAAAGATTCTGACCATTTCTTCCTGTCACCTCCAGGAGGAAACCTCCCCAGAGTCTGACATCCCACCTCCTCCCAGTTCCAGCGCCCCAGGAAGACCCCAGTTGTCACCAGGTTAGTGGTCCTGGAGCAACACCGTAGACCTGGGTGCAGGAGCACTGCAGGCTGTCTCCTGACTAAGAGTTGCCCTCCCAGCCTTCCAGGAAATTCTGGTTTCTTCTCTCAAGATGCCCCTCAGCTCATGACCACAGCCCAAAGGGCCCTTCTTTCCTGCATCTCCAGCCCACCCCAAACACAGTCCACACACTGCCTCCCTAAAGGCTCCAGAACACACACAGGCATGGGTGAGCACATCTGGGGCCAGATGGGTCATAAGGTCATAACTCTCAAAACCCTCTACTCAATGAATACTAACCACCAGGTTCCAGAAGGAAGGCAGCAGCCATTGTACATCTGTGTCTCAGAGGGCCTGGAAAGGCTCTTCTCAAATGACTGAGGAGGCATATTTGGGAAGAAACCACTCTGCAGAGCCCTGGGAAGGGAGAGGGGGGACAAAAAACCACGGGCAGATCTGAAAGGGAGTCTGTGTCTCCATAGTGATGGCTCACATGTGGAGGGCTGACTGGGGAAGCCAGGCACTGGCTGTCACCTGTGTAGTTTAAGCAGATTCTGGTAGAGCTGTGCTAACTAACTGACTGTCAGATTTGCTTCGGATGCTCCCTCCCCTGCATTTTTTTATTTTGAAAAATTTCAAACCTATAGAAAAATTGAAACTATTGTACAATAAACATCAGGATACTTTTCATGTAAATCCATCAGTTTACGTTTTGCAGCATGTCCTTGCCCTGCTCCCTTCTCTCTATAATTTTTGCCCCAAGCCACTTACAAGTAAGTTACAAACACATGACACAAACTACACATAAGCAGGGCTGTCCTAAGAATGAGCACAATCTTCTGTGTAACCACACACAGCTGTCATATCTAGGACACTTAACATTAATATAATATTATACAATGCAAATTCCACATTGAGGATCACACATTACTCTAGGAAAGATTTTTTTTTTTGTCCATACAGAGTTTGAATTCAGGGACTCATGTTTGCTAGGCAGGCACTCTTTTTTGCTTTAGTTTATTTTTCAGATAGGGTCTTACCTTTTTTTTTTGCCAAGGCTGGCCTTAGACCAAGATCTTCCTACCTATGCCTCTGAACAGCTTGGATTACAGATTGCATCTGGGTCAAGGATTTAAGAATACAAACCCTAGGCCTTTTTTTTTAAATTTAGGGGAGGAATGGGACTTGGGAATTTGTATTTTTTTTTTTTGAACACAGGGCTTCATGCTTACAAAGCAGGTGCTCTATCACTTAAGCGATGCCTCCAATTCATTTTTCTCTTTATTTTGGAGATGGGGGTCTCTCAAACTATTTGCTCAAGCTGGCCTCAAACTGAGATCCTCCTGATCTTAGCCTCCCAAGTAGCTAGGATGACAGACATGAGCCACCGACCCCCAGCTGGAATTTGTATTTTTAACAAAAACTTCCCCAGTTATTCTACTGATTAGCTGAGTTTAAAATTACTGCACCCCTGTAATAAATCATCTTTGCACTTTTTTATATCAATTACATGCATACTACTATATTAATATGTTCCATACCTTAGAAAACATACACAAAAATGAAGGACAAGGTAAACGTAAGTGGCTCTTCTTGAGCCTCTGGCTCATCTTGTACTCCTTGCTCGGCATTGCTTTGGGTTCCATTGGTTTAACTGACTTTCGGGACCTGTGCTGTCCCCATGGGTTGGGTAGGACATGCTAGTTCTTTGATAACTTTGGATGGTTCTTTAGAGGCAGAGGCTGGCTTTGTGATCTTCCTGCTTCTCCAGACTGAGATTTCCTCTCAGTTAACTAAGGTTAATGGCTAAAGGGTAAGAAGCTGGGTCCCTTGTTCTAAGAGGTGTCCTGTGGATGGCAGAGGCCAGCAGAAGTATTCACTCATTGCATTTTCTTTTACTCCCTACCTTTTTCATTTAGGTCAGAAACAAAAACAAGAGCCCAAGGTAAGTTTTCCTTGTGCTGCCTCAAGTGGGAGAAGACGGAAAACTGGTCTGTCAACCATGGGCATGACGCTTTGGATGAGAAGCCCAATGGAAGGGTAGAATGAGTTGCCACCTTATGTACAGTCCATGTTCTTGGGGCCCTCAATCCTCCTCTGCTCCTATGCATACATTTTGTACTAGCTCCTAGCTGGAGAGCCAATTTGCTCAGTAGACATTTCTGTCCAAGTGAGAGTTGGGCCTCAGGACCTCTGAAGGTCTGGCAGCTACTTACTAGCCTCTCTGTCCTGCATGGGGACTCTCTGTGCCAACACTCAAAGCGGCTCTCCAGGATGTTGATGAAAGCCTCAGATGCTCGGGATCTGTTTCCTCTTCCCTCAGGAAGTGAAGCTCAGTGTTCCCATGCCCTACACACTCAAGGTGCACTACAAGTTCACGGTGGTCATGGAGACTCAGCTCAGGCTCCCCTACAGCCAGGTCCGGGACATGGTGTCTAAGAAACTACAGCTGCTGCCAGAACACACTAAGCTGAGGTGAGCTCTGGGCAGGCAGTGCCTACGGGTCCAGCTGAGGGCATTGTACTGGTGCAGGGGATAGAGAGCAGCGTGGGTTGGGGACTGATTTCTGACTTGGTCCTTACCCATTATCCCTACCCAGTTATCGGCCTCGGGACAGCAATGAGCTGGTGCCCCTTTCAGAAGCAAGCATGGAGGATGCCTGGAGCTTAGTGAAAAACTACTGCCTGACTCTCTGGTGTGAGAACACAGTGGTGAGTACAGTGATCCCAGGACACCTGAGGTCATTGCTCAGTGACAGAATCAGCATTTATCAAGCTCCTCCTGTGCCAGGCCTTATGCTAAGTGATAGGGACTATGTGGGTAACAAGTTGCAGGGGGAGAAGGTCTCTCACAAGAGAAGAGCAGGCCCAGGAGCTCACAGAAAGCCTCCAGCCCTTTCCCTCGGCCACCATGCCTAATAGGGTCAACCTTATGCCCAACCCTGTCAGGCAACAGATAGGGTGATGTCACAGATTGAGGCTGAGCTCACAGCATTCACCTTTCTAGGTTTTCCTGAGGAAGGACACTCGAGGCTGAAAGAAAATAGCATTTATTTCACAGAGGTGATGTGGGCAACAGCTTCCTAACAGCTAGTATCTACCGAGAATTTCCGGTGCATTGTGGAAGAATTCTTATAATCCCAAAGCTTTGTGAGGTAGCTATTATTGTCCTGTTTTACAACTTTGGAAACAAGGCAGAGAAAAGTCAAGCACCTTGACCAAGATGACACACCGATGGTCAGTGCTGGAACCAAGACTTGAGTCACCACACGGTACTGACAGCACAAGGGCAGGTTTTATTAGCCCTGGAGCCTAGACAAGTTACATGACATTAAAATAAAATGGAGTCAGGAGCAAAGTCAGAGGCTAGAAGTGGTAGGTGGCACTAGTGTGTTAACATGCTTGGACTTTGTCCTTTAGTGTTCAGAGAAGCTGCCATTTCTTTTTGTTGTTCATGTTATCATTCCCTTCTCCAATCTGGCTCCTGAAAACTACCCACCTGCTGCCAGCACATTTGCCTTTTGTGTAAGTGGATCGTGCAGTAGATACAATCTTTTGCATTTCAGTAGCTCATTCCTTTTGGTTGCTAAGTGTTATTCCATTGTGTGGGTGCTGCAATTTATCTACTCACCTTTTGGACATTTGCCTAGAAAGGCTTCTGCTCTAAATGTGAACTATGTCACTTGAAATGTTTTGTAAATTTGGTTTTTTCTCTTTGTCGAGGTCAATTTAGCAGCTTTGCTTCACGGAACTCACAAGTCACACTGTTTGGAACTCAATCTAGGCTCAGGGGTCACGGTCAATGCTCTGTGTCACCATCTCATTCACTAACTAGGAAAGGAAAATGAATTATTATTTATTGTGTGCCTGCTCTATGCGGGAACACTTAGCAGCAACCAACTTTTAAGTACTGGTTAAGTGCTAGTACAAAATATGTATTCAGTCAATGCCACCAATTATTATTCCACATCACCTTATTTAATTCTCCTAGCTTCAATCTCAGGTGAGGAAACTGAGGCTCAGAGAGATTATACTCCTGGCTGGAGACTCACAGCTGGTAAGCCATGGAGCTGGAATTCAACCTAGGTCTATTGGTTCTGTAAGACCATTTCCACCTGTGTAAGAAATTGGAACTAACACTTAGTACAACTTTTTTTGGGTGGGGGCAGGGCAGTACTGGGGTTTGAACTCAGGGCCTTGCACTTGCTAGACAAAAGCTCTACAGCTTGAGCCACACCCCAGCCCATCAGTACAGCATGTTAGCCTAGCAGTTTCTAATATGGACTTGGTACATCCTGTAATTCGAACTTCTACAAACTACATTCTTCAATATTTATGGTACAAAAATGACCATAACATGTACTAGATCTAAGATGTGTAAGAAATGTCATTAGAGTGTTGTTAAGAGTTAAGCCTTTTTCATGGCCTTATAGAGATAGCACAGTGCCGTGCAGTGGTTCCCAAACTTTACCAAGTACCAGAATTACCTTGAGGACTTAAAATAGAGATTATAAGTCCTGTCCTTCAGAAAGCTGATTTAGTATATTTGAGATGGAGTTGAAAACTTAGCATTTCTAACAAGGCCCCTGAGTGTTTGGTGTTGAGAAGGTGGGCACTGGATCTGGTGTCAAGAAACTGTTTTGTCACTTAAATTGTTTTCCCATCAGAAAAGAACGAATAATGCCTATCCTACTTTTCTTAGGTCTACTGTAAGGATTTCAAGAGGGTATTTTAAGACTCTATGTGGTTCTGCAGACCTTTGCATTTCATTTATCCCACCATCCAGTATTCACGAAGTACATCTTAGGTCTATGTTAGGCACTGGTCACAAACTTGCCTTTATGAGCTCATCACCACTGACTTTCCTTCAGTGATGTTCAACATTCACTGGCCAAAGAATCAGCAAAATTAACAGGTCCCTTATTATTTCAGGGTGACCAAGGCTTTTTAGATGAACCCAAGAAAAATGAAAAATCTGATGCAAATAACCAGTCAATAGAATGTCAACTTAAGGAAGGGAGCCAAGTAGTAGCACTCTTTAGCTATGAGGCCACCCAACCAGAGGACCTGGAGTTTCTAGAAGGAGATGTGATCCTGGTGCTATCAAAGGGTAAGTGACTTAACTTACATACTTGTAAACAAGACCAAGGGCAGAAGGGCAGCAAACACCAATCTCAAACCTTAGCCAGTAGTTTCAGTCCCCTTTCTAGCTTTTAGGAGGAGGGAACAAAACTGAGTACCCAGCCTTTCCCTAACAGACAGGGAGGCAAGTCACAACTGTGAAAGATACCTTAATACAGATGGTAGTTTTGGAAACCATGTTTTCCATGTTAACCAAGGTGATTTTGCACCAAACCACAGAAATTAAATTGATGCACTTTCTAAAGAAGGGAGAGGTAAATGTTGCCATAAAAGCAACTATTTGTATCTGCCTGGTATCTCTGGTGACTGACCAGATTGTTACAAACCAATAGGTGAAAAAGCAAAACAGTAAGTGAAGTGTTCTAACAGTGATTCTCAGCATCTGTTGAAGGGTTTATGAAGTCTCCTGACCCCACCTCCTGGAGATTCTGGTTCAGAATCTGCACTTGACCAGTTTTCAGGGGTTCTCGGTCTGATTATACCAAGAAGCACTACTGTAATTCATGTTTGGTCTTAGTTCTCTACCTGGAAACAGTAGGCTTCTATCATAAAAAACCTCGTTTACAGGGCTGAAATGCTATGCGCAAATAATGCACAGTATAGTAAAAAATTATAATAGGAAATCCAAGTTTAAGAACAGTAGCGATATTGTAACCTTATGGGAAGTATTAGGTCTAGGGAATTCAGAGTCATTTTTTTTTTCATTTTTCTTTTATTATTCATATGTGCATACAAGGCTTGGTTCATTTCTCCCCCCTGCCCCCGCCCCCTCCCTCTCCCCCCCCAATACCCAGCAGAAACTATTTTGCCCTTATTTCTAATTTTGTTGTAGAGAGAGTATAAGCAATAATAGGAAGGAACAAGGGTTTTTGCTGGTTGAGATAAGGATGGCTATACAGGGCATTGACTCACATTGATTTCCTGTGCGTGGGTGTTACCTTCTAGGTTAATTCTTTTTGATCTAACCTTTTCTCTAGTACCTGTTCCCCTTTTCCTATTGGCCTCAGTTGCTTTAAGGTATCTGCTTTAGTTTCTCAGAGTCATTTCTTAAAAGTGTCAGTGTTTTATATTGAAAGGGTGGTCAGGGACAAAATAAAAATGAGAGCACATAAGAAAACCTTTGGGTAGACATGGAGAGAAGGTGCTGTGGTTTAAATCAGGAAGTACCCGTTTACTTTGGAACTTGAACACTTCAAGAGAAAACAGAACCCTGCATCCATGCAGGTAGGACTAAGGGTGACTTTCATTACATCCAGTAGTTATAATTTCATCTAAAGTATTTCCCAAATTGTGCATGAGTCATCTGGGATCGTCTTAAAATACTGAGGTAGGGGATGCAGTGTGAGATTTTGCTCCTAGGACCCAGGACAACCAGATGCTTCTACTTCATATCCACACTATAAAGACACAGAATTTTGAAAAAATGAATGCCCCCAAACCTCTAATTATAGAATTGCTGGGGGCAGGATTCAGTCATGAGGGATTTAGAGACTTATGCCCAAAGATGGACTTCTGAACTGCTTGTGTGGTCGATAGATGGCTCTGAACAAACTATTAATCTCTTTGAGTAACCTTTTCCTTAGTAAGATTGGGATAATAGCTATAATGGAGTTATTATGAAGTTTGAGTGTATATGTAGTGTAGCATGTCTTAGTAAAGGCTTAAAGTAGAAGCTATTCAAATCCTTGTTTTCACAAATGTACTAAACCCATCACTAGCTCCAGTTCTTAATGCTTTTATGAATCACTGGCAAGGAAACTTTTATTTTTAATATATTTAACCAATGACACGGGCCTTTCTTGTCATCAAAACAAAGATTTCAAACAAAGCTGATAAAACTCATTTCTTAAATCATATATAGAACTGTTCAATTTCTTTCATCTTATTTCTCTGTGTGGTAATGCTGGAAAAAATATAATGCACTCTTCTGCATTTTACTGCTTATCATTTTAAAGCCAGAAATCAGTAAGAGTAAGATGGCTAAACCTTACAGTCACTAACCTCAAATCACTTTCCAACAGTCTTCCCTGTTACCTTCCCTGTGTGACTGGCCAAATCTGTGTGTGAAGAACCAGGAGTAACTGATAGGTACTTTATCTTTTACCAGTGAATGAAGACTGGCTGGAAGGAGAGTGTAAAGGGAAAGTTGGCATTTTCCCTAAAGCTTTTGTTGAAGAATGTGCAGCCAGGGGTTTGGAAAGCACTCCCAGAAGAGTCTAGGATGGCTCACGGTTTACAAAGCTGAAGAAAGAGAAGCTCTACTATTTGACTGCAAGATTTCCCATACCTCTGCTCTACATTATACCAAGACATTACAGTTGGAGAATGTTAACCTAGCTTTCCTTGTTAAAATTTAACCTACTTAGATAATCCTAACTCAGGATGCAGATTTCCTGTTGCACAGAGAAGTCTAGATGAGGCATGGGTCTTCTAGGGTGTTGACAATCGGTGTTTTGCTGATAGTGGCTACCTAAATGTGCTCACGTTGTGAAAATCCACTGAGCTGCACACTTAACAACTGGCCCAACTCTCTGTATGGGGGAAAAAACTAAAGGCTCAAGAGCTAAGTGGAAACATTCCTGTTCCTATACCATTAATATTCTGGACTCCTGAGAGTAAGGAGACCCAGGTGACTCAGAAGGCCGGAAGGCATAGATAGACAAAATTAACTTTTTTTTTTTTAAACCAAGTTTCATTGCTCAGAACCCAGATTGAGTTAGGTTCCCATAGAATACAATAGTCAATTCCACAGAGAATTAAAATGCTAGAATTACATCCCTTTCTGTCTTCTCAAGAGAGTAACATTCATTAAGAGTTCAATACAGAATATATGCCACTGACACTTAAGTAATGAAGAACTGGTTAGTGGTATTCTTACTTTACATTTTATAAAAATTACTGTAATGATACACATAACAGAATGTTGCAGTTTTATTTTGACTACCAATACCATTCAGGGTTAACGGGTGAAGGATTCCATAAGGACTAGATCTTTTGACATCACCTTAATTGTCCTCTGCCCCTTCTTTTAGAGTATGTACACCTTTGCTAACAATTTTTCAAGTGTGTAGGTATGTGTGTGAAAAGCAGTTAGGAAGTAATCTATACACTGAATCAACACCTAGGTGAAAGGAGTGAGCCAGTGTAATTAACACTGTCAGTATACTGTGGAAAGCCCAGCAAGCTGCCACTGAAGTTTTGGAAAAACTGAAAGAGAAGCTATCCCAAGGCTAGAAACAGTAATTACTGTTGGTATTAGTTAGATTTAGTGAATTTTATAGGCCAAAAGGATACACGATTTCTGAACTGCCTTAATAACAGCTATAATAGGTATAAAAATGGTGGGCTATTATTACCTCCTTTACAAAAGTCATTTTTTTCCTTATTAAATAAAATAATTTTGATAATTTCTTTCTACCTATTCTTTTCCACAATAATTCATTGGTTTAGAATGCTATGGAAGGCAATAATAACCCTGAAACATACCCAAATTCTAACCATCTTTGTTTTTCCCTGGATGACTTATGAATAGTTGAAATTCTTTAAATTGAGATTTCTTCAATACAGTACCTTTCAGGATAGAAAAGAAACAATCTATACACAGAAGTGGTTGGAGAGAACATGGTTTAATTAAAGGCAAAGCTGATTTCAGCAGCTGCAGGTCTTGCACAGATAGACAAAAATAAAATAAAAACCCAAACAAACAAAAAACAACAAACAAAGCCTACAAAAGAAAGTTTACTACACAAACCAGTTTCTGATGCAGATTCTCCTCCCCCTTCCTCGTTACTCCACAGTGAGGATGATAAGGCGAGGAACCCCGCCCCAAAGAGTCATAATACATTCCAAACACCAAATTCTCATGCAGAATGGGGCTGTAGATGGGCACTGGGTATTAGTGGGAGGGTGATGGTAAACCTGGTTAGCTTGTCTAGGGTGCAAGTATCAGTGACGGTTCAAACACTGGAATGTTGCAGCTGCCTGAATGCAGAGCTCAAACACATAAACTGGGTAAAGGCAGTAGGGAAAGAGGCTCAGGAAGGCAGGAAGAGGAAGGTGGATGGTGGAAGAGGCTGGAGAGAAGCACAAGGGGTTTCATATTGCCATGGGGGGAGGGGAGGGTTAGGGGTAGGGCTTCACCCTTTCAGACCTTTCAAAAACAAAACAAAACAACCCAAACACCAAGTCAAACTAAAAGAGCAATAATGCAAGCCTAGGTGGCTCCAACCACTCTTCCTAAAGAGCAATGAACATTTTCTCACCCCTTCTCATTGCTGGGGCTGCCCAGACTCCAGTGACAACCGGGGCTCCTGGATGTGCTTTGCTCTGCAGCTGTTTTCCAGCTAAATTTCACACTAACTCCACACACTCATACACACAACCCTCTGAGACAGCAGATGGGTCTATGTGGGCACACACACGCAAATGAGAGACCTCCCAAAAAATAATCCCTACCACTAGCACAGCAATTGGACATTTAGATTGTTTCCATAATTTTCCCTTAAAATATTACTTTTCCAGGAAATGACTATCAGAAATGCTGTCCTTCTGTTTCTACACAAGAACATCTTCAGTCCTCTTTCCTCCTAATAAATATCAAAAGTTTATTTTTGTTTCTTTCGCCTTTCCCAAAATGGCCTTCGTTATATTTTCTTCTGTGCACAACGTGCATGTGTCCATGTTGCCTTGACGTTCATTCGTGAGGTGGAGGCTGGGAGACTGTAGCTGGGCAGAGGCCTGGCCCCTCTGTGGCTATACACACGCCTCCACTTCCTTCTTCTTCAGACTGTCTTACAGGCCCCAACTGCTGGCCCTCATGCTGTTGCTTCGTGACGAGATGTTGCACACATTAGGAATAAAAACAATTACTAGCATACAGCATAGGGTAAAAAAAGGATGGAGACAGGCACAGGAGGCTGGTAAGCAGGACGCGGGCACAAAAATCACCAACCAAACAAAAAACACACTGAAAGCTTCCACCTATTAAAATGTGTGTCAGGCCATGAATGGACTAGCCTGCCTTTTATGAGACTGCTTGCGATGCTACTGCAAAAGGTACAGGAATCAAGAACTTTAATTTGAGATCTTACAGCAGTCGCCTGCTAGTCCAGTCCAGCAGCACCACCCACACTGCATCCTCGATTGGGACTCGAGCACCTACAGAGTGAAGGGCATTTCCTGCTGGAGTCTCTAGGCCGGAGGAGGGCCTACCACAACTTTCTGAGAGGCCTTCTACTCTCGCTTAGGGAACACTCCCACTGGCTGAAGAGGCTGGTTCCCCATTTTGTCACCACCAACCTCTTACAGAAGCAGTGAACAGGACTGTCTTTGCTACACACTGACTAGAAGCACACCCGTGTATGGAAGAATTCAGTGTGATGTTTTACTACTGAGAGTAATAACAATAATAAAAGGTGTTTAGGAATAATTTCAACTACATTCTCAGTCAGCAAAGCAATCATTAATGGATTCCTATTTTATTCCCCAAAGAGGAAAAAAGGACTGAGAAGTTCCCAATGGCTTCTCCCACCTGCCTTCCCTTCTCAGCTTTCACTTCCCATGTGGCTGGGGACATGCACAATGGAGAAGGTGAGAGGCGGTGATATCAGGTAACTGAGTGAGACAAACAGCAGTTCCTCTCTCCCTCCGGAAGGCCCTGTGGGGGGGACGGAGAGCTCCTGATGGATTTTTCTTTTTGTTGCACTGTGAACATTTCGTGCACACTCAGCGGGCTGGTGGAACACTTACACCCTCTTGACAGCGAGAAACAGACAAGAGGACTGCCACCTGCAGGGGACTGTGTGGGCCAGTCCTGCAAACCCAACATGCCATGGTTTATGGAGCCTTCATTCCCAGGGTTGCTACTGTGGCCTCAGTGTGGAGGGTTCATGGTGCCTTGTCCCCGCTGCTGTTTCTGCTTCTGCTGCATTAACAACTGCTCCAGAGCGGAAGGTCCAGGATGCATCATGGAACTGGACCAGATAGACTGAAAAACAGCCCAGATTTGTCAACAGAGGTCAAATGCCTTGTGTGTCTCAACATGGTGATTTGTTTTATAATACCAGCCAACTATAAAGGCATATGTGTCCCAAGAACCCCACACTGACCTCTAGCTAGTTCCTATTAAGATTATTTTAAACTGGAAAAAGTGAAATTACGTTAAAACATAAATGAAGTCTTTTTATTAAAACTCCCTGTGGTATCACAGGGTATGTTTACTATAAAGGTTTTAGGTAAACAAAAAACTTTTAAAATTACATACTCTTCTTTCAATTGTTCAGAAAAGACTTAAACATGCCAAGGTGAATTGGTCTTCTTAATCTTAGAATGAAACTAAAACACTATTCTGTTTCTGATTCCTTGATGCTACTTTATCACTAACAAATTCACAAATTAAAAGAAAAATCCCATTCAGGAATCTTGTAAGGCAGATCATTTCTAGGACTCTGCTACCCATATGCTATGTATCAGTTCTAAGGGTCACAGAAGTAAATCTAGCTAGTTATGTGAGTCTTTGCTGCAAGAATTGTGTGGTTCTTGTTCCTGAAATCCACTCACCTTTAGGCTTTCCATGAGGACAGCAGAGGAATCCTCCATGGAGGGACCATGGCCTGTCCAGGCACCACTTGGAGTGCTGGCCTGATGCCAACTGCTCTCAGAGGATGATGTTGCTGAGAGATAATCAATGCCAAACCCACCCATGGCTAAGGAATAAAAACAGGTAAGAATTCAAGAAGATATTCCATCATTGTCAAATCTCAAACCCCAGATAAGGACAGAGCAAGTTATTTCAACTTTGCTAGGTAAATAATGAAACCTAGATCCCACCTGGCTTATCAGTTTTCCACCGATCTGCAGGCCTTCTGTCCCTGTTATCTGGAGTTCCAATGGGTCCAAAATGAGAGAATGGAGCAGAGTTATGGCTGTGTGTTGGAGGAGAGCTGGGCAGGCTGCTTGGGTTAGAGGAGTGAGGAGACTGGCTGGCCGGTGTAGAATGATCTATTAAATAACAGCGACACGGGACATTGAGTAGATGTGTCACAAGCACACCAAGAGCTACTGTTTCCTGCAGGTGCGGTCACCCAAGTCCTATCAAAAATAACCACAGGGCTTTGTAAAGACCCCACAGGGAATCTGTTAGATGCACTAATCTAGTTTACTGCACATGTCTAAGGCACATCTCTGCCTTACAAAGGCAAAAATAAAATAATACACAACTTTATCAAGTAAGTTATTTTATGCCTTCTTCAGGTTAGTATTTATTGGTTTTCTTCATCAGAAATAGAATTCCTTCATCTTAAGGCTTATTGTAAAACAGACTATTTATAAAATCAAGATGAAAAATCTTTGTTTTGAAAGTTAACCTTCCCTACAAAGAATGAACATCAACAAGCAAAATTTAAAAACAGAGACAGAATTTTTTTCCTACAACTCTGCTAGGATATAAAAAGCTTTTAAAGTAGCATTTATTACATGAAGTGGCCCATCAGGCTTTTTTCCCTGCTTTTTTTCAGAAGTTACTTTAAAACAACAACAACAAGTTTATAATTACAGGATCTGACAATACCTAGTCAATATGAATGCACAGGAAAGGCAAGGTGTGTAATTTAAAGACTATTGAATACCTGAACTGGCAGGAAGTGATGGAGACCATGGAGTCCCTTCAAACAGGGAGTACAGTGATGTTTCCTGGGGGGCCAATGAGGGATTGAGTTCTGCTTTGGAGCTGGTTGTTAGGTTTTTCCCATATACTTCATTGAACATACTGCTATTTGGGTATCTTTCCTGAAAGACATGACAGTCAAGTTATAAACTCACTCCAAGAAAGAGAGATTTAAGAAAATGCAATGTCATGTTCATGCATTCAATCTACCTAAAGCTTTTCTTAGCAAGACAAACTTTTGAAAGCTTTTATTTCTTTGCCTTCTTTTACCCTTTATTTTGTTCTAAGCCACTCAGGTTAAAAAGTGAATAATCTGGCTGAACAACCAAGCCCTTAGGAGTTCAGTATGAATGAGAAGTTAAAAGGTTCAAACTCCCCAAGTACAACCTTAAAGAGAGTTCAAACTCAAAGTACAGCTCACTAGTTTGTGCCAATCAGATACAGATACAGGGGGATAAAACCAACACCTGGAAGATAGTATTATATGGAAAAAAAAAAGGGAAATATAAAAACAGATGTACTGAAATAGAATGTTAGAAAATATCAGCCTATAATAAAAGTACAAAGCAAGATTTTTTTTCTTTCTTTGAATGTTACTGAGATTTGAACTCAGGGCCTCATGCCTGCTAGTAAGGTCTACCACTTGAACCACGCCTCCAGTCCCCAAACCAGGATTTTTAACTGTTTACCTACCTGATTGAGAGAGAATCCGGTAAGGGACAGGAAAGAGGATGAATGTGACATGAGCTCTGAGGGCTTCTCCAATAAGGATTTCTTCACAGTCCCAAGGAGGGGGGGAAAAAAGTTAAGTGATTCTTTTTTTCTTAATATTAATCTCAAAATACTATA